TTTTCTTCTCCTTTTCCCAAGTAAAGAAAGACAACAACAATAATAATGATAACAATAATTATTATAACAAAATAAAGTTTTAAAAAAAATAGAGTAAAAGTATAATAATTCGAATAAAAAGTAAAATATAATATAATAATTAGAATAAAACAAAATAAAAATAAAACTGTAGCTATGATTTCAATACATTTGTAAATCGCTAACAGTTTTATAATGTCCTTACTGAGAGCGACTGTAGCAGCAGTGGCTAACCTACAAGTGAGCTTGCCGTCTTTTCCTAGCCGCTTAGTTAATGTGTCTATTAAAACCTAACACCACAGCATGAAAATAAGTCCTACAACACAGCACATGGGTGAAATGTTTTACAGTGTGGGTAAGAACAGTGGCACTTTCTGTACTTACACAAATAACCACAGACTGTGTGTTAAAGACTGACGTAGTCTCAGGGTCTATAAGGTCAAGCCGGTGCTTTGCTTCACGTACATACTTCTATATATTCGAGAGGGGCTACTTTTACTAGCTTTTCCCATCTAGTTTTATTAAATATGTGTACGAATAATTACTGAGACAAAAAACAAGACAAATGGTGCAAGTGAGAAATAAGTCGCAAAATGTGGAACCCACTCTGTGAAGCATGTTGCAACTTGTTGTATGAACCACTAAAGTATGTGTACGCGCTGTACTTTACCACAGTTAGTGTGTGTTAGAGTCACTAAATTAGTTTCTTTGTAATCGTACATTTCCACAGTTTGACTGTCCGTATAGTGAAGTAACCAAACAGCCATTTTGCTAGCTTGTAGGTTTTTCTAATTCCTGGCACAGAGTGTGTTCTCTCCGAAATCCACTACAAAGTGTACTCAAGGCAAACTCAAGGTTTTGCAAGCAAATTGGAAATCATTGGAGGTTCCCACAGGAATGGACTGAGTTCCAGTTGACTCGTATACCTACACAGAGCTAGATGAGAAACCTGCATTCTTTCTGATGGCCAGCAGGGGGCAACTCCTCTGATTACAAAAAGAAATTAGGCTGTACTGAAGTCTATGAGAAAATTAGCCTACTTCTTGCATGATTTATAGCCTTAGTATACATATTCTTAATGAGTTTATGGTTCTAATTGCGAGTTTCAAGACTGTTTGAATACAACACAGTGCTCATTTTGTAAATCATTGTTCCAGGTAGAGGAAACTCAGCGATGAAACAGGGCGTCCTATAAAGCAGGGCCACCTTGTGATTGACGCATCGCTACAGCATCCCCATGCTTAGTGCCATGGAGCTCTCCAGACAGATCCACCTCTCACTCATTACACGTTGTTTCCAAAAACCAAGACGACCACAGCCAAATTCCAAACTCGAGGCTTCAACGCAGCAGTCCACAAAGTGTGTTAAGTTTGTTAATTTAATCTATGATGCAAATAAAACTATAGTGAAATTGTACATACTCAAAAAAGATAACGCATGACGCTCCTAGTTCAGATGGCACTGACATGCGTTATACCATAATGCCTTCATTGTTTCCTTCAGATGGAGGTCTGACTTGACTGGTATCCTCTTTCTATTCCAGCTGTGTGCCTCTCCTGCTTTAGACCAAGTGTCATTAACATATCTGGGCTCCTGATATGAAGCTCTGCCTCCTATGGCTGCAAACTGAAGAAGGAGGGGACCCAAATAAACCCACCAAAAATAGCCATGTAGTGACGAAGAGTGACTGAACACAAGGATAGGAAGACAGGGTAAAGGTCACTAATAGTTCCTCACTCTTTGGAGCTGGAATCTGATTTTGAGCGAGGAAGGGCGCACAGGAAAGAGATAAGGGAAGCCTGCTCCCGACAAGCACTTGATTAAACGGGCTCCGACATTCTGCTGGGCTGCTTGTGTGTGCAGTGGTGGAAAGTATAGTAACTCAAGTGCTGAACTCACGCCTTTAAGTAGTTTTAATTTTACATTCAAAAGCCATGACTGACTTCTTATATTTAATTAAAGACTGGGTGTTTTCAGTTACATGTCTAATTTGAAAGCTAGAGATTACCGTGCACTGTAATAAATTACTTTGTAGTCGTGTACTATTTAAAATAATCAGATTTAACATATTTGAAATAATAAATTAGTGTCCTTGATTTTGTAGTTATTATTTAAGTAAGCATTGAATAAAAAAATATGGAATAAAATTGACTTGGAGAATTAGGTCATCCTTAATGAGAGGTGAAAACTTTTTAAGAACATACAAGTTGCTTGTTACTTAAGCGGAGAACATGCAAACTCCACACAGAAAGATCCCGTCCCGGACAGGTGTCCTCACCGGGAC